GTGATGTGATGTGATGTGATTGATGTATGATTCAAAAAGCCCAATCTGGCAGCACAGAGGACAGTAAATTGGAAGAAAGCAAAAGCAGACGTAAGGTACCAGTTCAAAATCTGTTGTTATTGAAGCAAAAAATGGCCAGGCACTGTGGCTCACACTGTAATCCCAGCACTTTGGGAGGCTGAGGCGGCAAGCAGATCACAATGTCAGGAGTTAGACAAGCCTGACCAACGTAGTGAAACCCGTCTCTACTAAAAATACAAAAATTAGCCAGGCATGGTGGCAGGTACCTGTAATCTCAGCTACTCAGGAGACTGAGGCAGGAGAATCACTTGAACCCAGGAGGCAGAGATTGCAGTGAGCCAAGATTGTGTCATTGCACTCCAGCTTGGGCAACAAAGTGAGACTTGGTCTCAAAAAAGAAAGCAAAAATTGACGGTAACTTGGACTAAACTGGTGGTGGTTGATGAAGGAGAAGAGTAGGTGACCTTGAGAGATATTTAGAAGGTCAAATCTCCAGAACTCAATGACTGATTGTATGTGGGAGTGATAGAGAAGAAGGCATCAAAGATGACTCAAGATCTCCGGCTTATGTAACAGGATGGTGGGCTATTCTGACACCAGGAATTCTGGAAGGGAACAGGCTAGAGGGAAAGATCATGAGTTTTATTTTAGACACATATTGAGCGGTTAACATTTCCACTTAGAGGCAATGTTAACAGCTAGGGTTCAGAGGACAGTTCTGAGTGATTAAAGCTGTAGGTCATCTCTGCGTAAGCAACAGCTGAAGCCACAGCATGGACAGAATTTCCGGCTCGCCTGGAGAGAAAGTGAGCGGCCTGGGCTGGACCTGGAGGAACTCTGCGACTTCGAAGCTGGTTCTAGGTAGAGGAGGGCTATATCACAGGGGGCTCAGGAGGCTCGGATCTGAGAAGCAGGAAGAAAACCAGGGAGTGTGCCTCAGGAAAGCCGAGGGAAAGGGCCGCCGAACGCTACTCTGAGTGACTGGTGAAACCTGAAGACTCCCTCAGACTCAGTCAATGGGGTCAGTGGGGTTTTGCTGGAGGGAGACAGTGGATAGATTGGAGATATTGAGAAGGCAAAATCAATTTGACTTGTCCATGGATGAGACAGAGCCTGGCCTCAAATTAGATCACTCCCCTCCTCTTTTCTTCAGAGCCCAGCTTCATCCTCGCTTCCTCAGGAAAGCATCCCCGACCCCCTAGACTCCATCAGATCCCTCTCACGAGCTCCCACTGCACCCTCCCACTCCTTCCTGGCACTGGGGAACATTCGCACCCATCCAGGGGGTCACCTGGGTCGCCCTTCTCTAAACCATGAGCTCCTCTTGCTCACCACAGAATTCTCAGCGCTCAGCATTGTGCCTAATAATTGCAATGACTCAATTTAAAAGCTGTTGAATAAATGAATGGCTGAGAAGAAACTCAGCTGAGAAGCAGCTGGAGGAGTAGCCCGGGCAAAGGGGAGAGTTGACCGGAAAGATCCAAACACAGGCGTGACTGACATGATCTAGGGACCAGAGACAGGTGTGTGGCTGGACCATGAGGAATGAGCTCCGGCAACAGATGGAGAGCTGAGCCAGGAGGGAGAAGCAGGGATGAGTTCTCAGAGAGCCCAGGGCCACCACGCCACTCATGTCCTCTCCCGAGAAGTCTGGCAGCCAGCCCAGGAGCAGACAAGGATGACACTTTGAATTTGCATAACTGTGCTCTCTTTTGTGTGTGACCTTCTTTCCTGCTATTTTCTCAGTGCAGATTAGGACAATCATAGGTTTATAAAAGAAAAAGGAAGTCTTTAGAAATGCTCATCATGATTACTGGAAGTCAGGCTTTGTGGAGATACAGGAGAACTTCCTAAATTCCTTTAGCTCCAGTCACATATGAAGAACCAGGCCTCGCTGCCAACATCTGAGGTTTCCTCCAGTTTTAAGAAGATAAATATCTCAACTGGGCGCGGTGGCTCACACCTGTAATCCCAGCACTCTGGGAGGCCGCGAGGCAGGTGGATCACCTGAGGTCAGGAGTTCGAAACCCCGTCTCTACTAAAAATACAAAAATTAGCTGGGCATGGTGGCACAAGCCTGTAAGCCCAGTTACTCGGGAGGCTGAGGCAGGAGAATCGCTTGAACCCGGGAGACGGAGGTTGCAGTGAACAAAGATCGAGCCACTGCACTCCAGCCTAGGCGACAGAGAGAGAGACTCTGTCTCAAGAAAAAACAAAAAACAAAAAGAAAGGAAGAATAATGTCCCTTTTGCTATTGAGGCTGAGTTCTGAGGCTTGTACAGTGAGAAGAAAATATCAATGGGGATGTCTGTGGTAAAAAGGAAGAGGAAGGTTGGGCACGGTGGCTCATGCCTGTAATCCCAGCACTTTGGGAGGCCGAAGCAGGCGGATCATGAGGTCAGGAGATCGAGACCATCCTGGCTAACAAGGTGAAACTCTGTCTTTAAAAAAAATTAGCCGGGTGTGGTGTCAGGCGCCTATAGTCCCAGCTACTCAAGAGGCTGAGGCAGGAGAATCACTTGAACCCAGGAGGCAGAGGTTGCAGTGAGCCGAGATCGTGCCACTGCACTCCAGCCTAGGTGACAGAGCCAGATTCAGTCATTAAAAAAAAAAAAGGAAGAAGAAGCAGATCGCTGGTCCCTTCCAGCCCAGCAGAAGCTGAAAAAGAGGGGAGATGGGAGGAGGAGGAGGTCCTCACCTGGCATCCCCACTTCGGCTCCATCCAGCCCAGCCACAGGAGACAGGGAGATGGAGGAACATCAAGACCCTGTGAAAAAGAGGCTGAAGGAGAGGCTGAACCTTTGTTTTTCAGCACAGCCTGGGCAGCTTGCAAGCCCCTCAGAGAAACGTGATTTTTGCAGGGCTGCCTTGGAGAAGATGGCTGGAGAAGTAAGCCTGAAGAAACACCCCGCCCCTCATGTGCTCCCAGGACTGGTGGACTATCTGGGGATGAACGAGCTGGAGCCAGTGAGCAGAGAACATTTTAAGCCAGCGTGGCTCCCAGGAGGCCACTTCCATGTTCCCTGTCCAGACGCCAGGCCAGCCCAGCCACTGTGCAGCAGAACCCAGAGAGGGCCTGAGATGCCTTTTCCAGCCAATACCAGGTCTCAAAGCCCCCAGAGGCCATCTGAGGGAGGGGTCAGAGAGGAACCACGAAGCCCGAGTCTCCCAGGAGACAGAAGAAACGAAGGCCCCACCGGACGTACAATGGCAAATGTAAGCTGTACCCTCCCCTACCTACAAGGCGGGGGAAGAGATCAAGCCCATCATAGAAAATGAGGTCCATTTTCTGTGGCCCCAAAGCAGTAAAGTGAACAATTGATGACAGCCTCTCCGACACCACTTCCGAGACTCAGACATCTCTTCACTGTAGTCAAGCCCACCCTCAGTTAATTCTCAAGGGAAAACAGCACTGCCACAATGATTGAAAG